ATCACTTGAGAGAAAGAGGACAAATAAAATAGGTCAAGTAGTGCATAAGGAAACGGTGACATAAATCTTAAATTAATGAGCATATGAAATAATCTGTTTACAAAAGAATCCGAGGTAAGTCCAAGAGGTCAGAAAAGATATTTTAAGGAAATGCCACAAACACGAAAGTGTTATCGAAATTAACTACAACTGGCTTCAGCGACGTGTGCAAGTTTATAGAAGAGAGTACAGGTAGGGAATAATATGAGAAAGTATTAGGATGAAATTGCAAACCCCCCACCTGAAATAAATAGACACAGTTAGTAAATAGAATACAGCGTAACTACAAACGCTGTGCCGGTTCTGCGTACGTTCTCGGCAGGACCCGTCGTCGCTTCGGTCGTGGTCCCGAGTGGCCTCACTCATGGCTCACTAGGCCAGCCTGACCCAGGCACTCGCGACCGCATGTGCTACAGCACCATGCGCTTGATGTCGATGGAGTACAACCCATCGGTGCCTGCCGCTTCTGCACTGCGTGTATGAGGTCTTTCTCTCGCACCAGCAACTGCCTTCGCGAGCAGATCGCGCCATGCGCACCGATCAACCGCCTTCGATTCCCATGACCAGCAATCAAGATTAGAACGTGAGTGGCTCACTTTGATCATGTCATGGTAACGTAACTTTGGTTTCCTCGCATGCCGTTTCCCAATACTCAGCCGACCATATAATAGTTGTTTCGGTATCCGCGTCGAATCCATACGGCTCACATGACCGAGCCATCTCAGGTGTCTCAGCAAAAGTATGCAGTCCACTGCATACATTCCACTTCGGCGCAATACTTCCGTGTCCGCAACTCCGTCGCCCCATCCGATGCGCAGAATCCGTCGCAAACACTGTTGATGGAACCGCTCGAGATATCGCACATCTCGCCGGTACATCGTCTACGTTTCACTGCCGGATAGAAGAACGGACAGCACCATGGATTTGTACACCATCAGCTTCGTGCCAATGGTACGCTGATGGTTGTTCCACACTCGGTACTCAAGCTTCCCGAATGCCACCTTTGCCTTCGAGACGCGGATAAGCAGTTCACTGTGTGTCTGCTGATCAGTCGATACCACACTCCCAATGAAGCAGAAGCGGGAGGTGGTTTCTAGTAGTTCAGAACCAATGCTGATTCGCGGCACCATTGCAGATTGCACCTCCGGTGAAGGCTGCAAGAGACAGACGGTTTTGCTTGTGTTGATGGTGAGTCCGAATTTGGCCGCTGTTGAAGCCAGAGCACTAGTCATGTGCTGCAACTCACCCGCGCTGTGTGCAAACAACGCACAGTCGTCAGCAAACAACAAAATACGGATTGTTGTCCCATAGACTAGAGTTCTCGCACCGAAATGACGGATGTTCAGCAACCCATTATGAATGCGGTGCGCCACACGAACACCGTAAGCACATGCGGCATCAAAAGCACAAGACATCATTGAATGAAGATATATATTAAACAGGGCAGGAGCTAAGACACAGCCTTGCTTCACACCAGAGACAACTGCAAAGTCATCCGAGGCCTCTCCACTCAGTTGCACCCTCGCTCGCATATCAGTGCAGACATTCAATTAAACTTACAAACTTACGCGGGCAACCAAACCTACCCAACACCAGCCACAATGCCTCGCGGTTCACCGTATCAAATGCCTTGGTGAAATCAACAAAAAGCGAGTAAAACGGCTGGTGTCGTTCTCTGCACTTCTCAGGCAATTAACGAGCCGCAAACACCATATCTATAGTGCTGCGACCCGAACGGAATCCACACTGCTCTTCCGCCACTTTAGGTTCCACAACCTGACTGAAGAGGCGGTTGAGCAGGATTCGGGCAATCACCTTGCCCACACAACTCAGCAACTTGATACCATGGTAATTTGTGCAACATTGCTTGCTACCTTTGCCCTTGTACAGTGGCAGCACAAGGGTATCCTTTAGTTCAGGAGGCACCTCCTCCTCAATCCATACGCGTTGCACCAAGTGGTGCAGCGCAGTCAACAACGCGGGTCCGTCGTGTTTCAATAGTTCAGGCGGGATCCCATCAGCCCCAGCACACTTGCTGTTTCGCAGCTGAGCAAGTGCTCTCTGCGTCTCATCCAGTGTCGGCCAGTCCGCCAGGCTCGTCTTCACATCGTGCTGCTTGAGGCCGTTCAATGTAGGCCAGTCGATCTCTGAACAGTCAAAGTGTTTTCGCCAGATCTGCATTATGTCTGCAGTCTGTGTGCAGGTAGCGTCTGAACTACCATCGATCAGCGTCCTCAGCGGCTCCAATCTCGGTCCATACACCGCCTTCAAAGAGTCAAAGAATTCCTTGTGTTGGCGGCGTTCGGCGTAGCATTCCATCTGCTTCGTTTTCTCCGTCCATCATGCAATTTTAATTCGACGGAGCTCTCGGGTCAGTCACCGACGAAGTTTGCGAAACTGACTACTCTTCCCCAAGTCACTGGAATATGCGACATGTGCAACAAATTCTGCATTCTTCCCCGACACCAATGCGCCAATCGTCGCATTGTTCCCATCAAACCAATCAGGTCGTTTACAGTTTGCGTGCCTGATGTTCTCCTCGGCAGCAGCTGTCAACTGATCGCGAATGTGGTGCAACAGGTCGCCCACTGTGGCTATCCATTCCGTATCACACAGACGTGCAGCCATCGCCTTCTCCAGCTCAGTACGTTTCGCCACAGTACCGAGGAAGGGAATGTTAAATTTACGCCGATTCACGGCGGGAGTGCAATACATAGAGCAACGAAAATAGATGTGCAGTTTGGTCTGCACCAATTTGTGATCAGTGCCACACTCAGCTTCATGCAGTACACGGGTAATGCGCACTTCACGCATATCACGCTGACGTACGATGACATAGCCTAGCAGGTGAGCGTGACCACTCCGTGGGTGCGTCCAACTTGCTATATCACTCGCACTCAGTGCAAACCGAGTGTACGTGATCGTCAGGCCATGAGTGGTACAAAATGAGAGCAGCCTGTCACCGTTCGCATTCGCTGAACCAATGCCATGCGAACCGACATCTGTCCACACCGATGCATCACGCCTAACGCGCGCGTTGAAAGCACCCAGCAGAAATAGTCGGTCGCTCGTCGGCACAGACCGTATCACGGAGGATAGCTCAGTGTAGAACTGATCACGTGTGTCATCAGGATAATACATGGTCGGACCGTACGTGCTTATAAAAGTGGCGAACTTATCTCTTCCTAGTCGTAGGCGAACAGTCGTCCGTCGAGCGCTGATGCCTGTTGGTTCACCTACCAGCTGGCCATGGAGGTGATCGGATATTGCAAATCCGACCCCACGATCACGCGGTGCTGAGGCGGCGTTGCCCACCCAGTAGAATGTGTATCCAGCACCTCCTTCATGCAACTTACCTTGCTCAGCGAGCCGAGTTTCACTGAGCGCGACAACATCGATGTGGCAACGCGCCAGCTTCATCGTGACCAGTGCAGTGCGTCGCTCGGGGCGCTCACTGGAGTTCCGGTCCAGTAATGTGCGCACGTTCCAGCACCCGATGCTGAGTGCTTTGCGCGCAGGCATACGATTGCATTGGTGGGCAATCGCACACGAGGTGGTCGTTGTGCTTCGGAGGTTTGCTTGAGGGACTCCGCCCGGAGCCTTTGGCTCAATAGCCTTACCCACAAGGCAGTGGGTGATTTGGAGGTTTGCTTGAGGGACTCCGCCCGGAGCCTTTGGCTCAATAACCTGACCCACAAGGCAGTGGGTGATTTGGAGGTTTGCTTGAGGGACTCCGCCCGGAGCCTTTGGCTCAATAACCTGACCCACAAGGCAGTGGGGAGCAGATCCAGCTCGGGAATGTGGTTGCAGAGACAGACTGGGATCTGCTTGACGGCCGTCACACGCAGCCTTTGAGGTACTGGAACGACTCATACATGTTTTGTGACCGTAGTAGGATATACCTGAGACCACAACCAGACGTAGGTGGGTTTTGGCGGGTTTGCATTATGTTGACCAGGGGCTGCCTGGCTTGAGGAGGGCAGCAGCAAACCAGTGAACACCCTCCACCGTCAGAGACAATGCGCGGCGCTCGTGCTCTACGCCAATCGAGCTGTGGGCTTATAACCCGCAGACCTGTTGTCGCCCATGGCTAGGTTTTACGGGAAGAGGGCCACCGACCACTTCCTAATCTCCAAAGAGGATGGAAGAGGATGGCAGGGCGCCCACACCTGACAGGAGAACGACTCGCGTCCTCAGCCAAAGCCTTCGATTAAATGTACACCCGAAAGGCAGCGGGTCTAGCACATGATCAGTTCACGGACTCATGCGGATTGGTGTCCTGGATCTTAGCAGGGAGAAGGGCGAAACCCAACTCCCACCCAGCGGTCGCCACGAAGAGGCGTCCAGGACATGACCCAATGGCGCGACAGTAGCAGCAGTGGGTAGATCATCTGTCAGGATCTAGCCACCACCAGCCTCAGCGCAGCATAGAACCTATACAAAGAGCTCAGTCAAACAATGCGCCTGCAACTCTGTGTGAACTACAATGTCTCAATCCAGCTATCAGCAAATCAAGAGCACAAATGGCTTGGGATACTGTAGAGTTTTTTCCTAGGCGATCCGAATTCAAACGCACCAAACCGGATTTTAGATGACGGCTACAGTGGAACCGCAAGCAAAATTTCTATGAAAGACACGAAAAATCTGAGTGTAAGCGACCGAATATAGGCAAAGAGCGTGAATACGTGGTGTCTGGAGATCTGACGATGGAGAAAACGGGTAAGTGTAAATCCTAGACAAACGCTTTGCGAACTTCTATATAAAACAAATAAAATTTGGGTGAGACTCAAAATCCCAATAATTTAGCTGATACGCTCGAACGACGATGGGTATACACATTAACATGTCCCTAAAAGTACCGTATACCCATACAACAAGTGTATGGAAATCAACGAAACAAAAATCGACCTGGGCATTGGCGGAAAGACTCATCGAAAGTAGGATTCAGGATGAACAGGTACCTTATTTCTTCCATTTTTTGCTGAACGACAAGATGAGAATCATTCAGGTGCTGCTCAAGAGTTCTTAGCTTCGAATCCAGTTCTGAGTAGGTCATGGACCGTGACACCTCGTCGATGTTCAAACAAGAATCACCGAAAGAGGAGAGATTACGAGGAGATTGAGAGTTCGAAATAGCGGAGATGTGTTTGGCAACCGCAGCTTCGAGTCGAGCCACAGCTCGTTTAGAAGTGAGTAGCTCTGATTTTTTGGACGAGGCTTCGGAAGACAGACGACGAAGTTCTGTTTGTTTAGCTTCCAAGAGAAGTCTCAAGCGACTTAGTTCGGATGTCTGGAAAGGAAGGAAGCAGTGAAGGTGAAAGGATGGACGTGAAACATACCTGCAACTCCGACGTGCGATTGGCGTTTTTCAGCAGGGAATCGAATTCAACTTGCCGTTCATGGAAAGCCGATTGAAGCACCAAATTTTTACTTCGCTCCTTCTCAAGATCAGTATGTTTCAATTTCAGTTGGTTCTGCAACTGGCTGCACTGAGTCTGAAGCTGCTCGCTGCACAGTTTCTCTTTTTGCAGCTGGATCATAAGATCTTCAACTTTTTGATAACAATCTTCCCTACATGAGTGGAGTGAAGAAGAGGTCGTAATGCACCTGAAAAGCATACTCTAATGCATTTTACGATTTTACTGTTGTTTGAACATATTCAACTTCCATTCGTTTTACTGACGGCACATCGCCTTGATATTCTGCCCTACTGAGTCTCGTACTACATGTTCCGTGCTCTTGCTGATTCGTTTCTCATTCATTGTAGCCTGTACAATACATGTTAGGTCCAACAGCCTCCATATTCTCTACGGTTCCGGATTTGGCAGGTCTCTTACGTGTTATTGCTATCGACTAGTATCCCAGACGCCACACAACAAGACAAACAACTAAGGGCGCCAGGTACCATTTGTGGGTAAGTGAGATATGAATAAAAATGGGCCCGTAGAAACTGCACAAGTGGCCTCAGATCATCATCATCATTTTGTACATTAGCTGCAATTAAAAGCACATCAGCTACTGTGTCGCAATACATCTCAAGCAAATGCTCAAAGATAAAATGATACGCAAAAAAGAAAAAATATACTACATTTTATAATGCATCAAGGATGGCACCATATCTGGAGAGGGGGGGAGAAATGGGAGAAAGGACAAGTAAACACACAACATAAACGTCACCACGGTCGGCTCTTGTCCGAGTCAACAAGCGTTTCTGACAAATAGTGTATCGCCTTTCAGCAGACCGCAGCGCTAGAGTCGAGGACATAAGCCGTAGGCCGCTACGCCGTAATAATGCTTCGCTGCCACGTAACTACCACTAGCCAAATGTGGAACTAGGGATATTACTAAGTTGCCCACACTTACGTAAATTCCAGACGATCACCGGTAGATTAAGTAAAGTATGCCTCGTAAGAGTGATCTAGAGGCACCAACTGAGGTCGATGAATTATTTGCCCAATTCTTCTTTCGTTCAGACCTCCAACGCGCAAACGACACATTTTGCGAGCATCATGCTGCTGCTACGCTTAATACCTGACCCAACCATCGTGATTCGGTGCATGAGGATTGATGCTGCTGAGCGGTTCACTTGCGCAACAGATACCGGTGCCAACTAACTTGATCGAGAATACCTAAATTGTTAAACCATTAGCCACGATATTATTTTGAATCGGGCAAGTGATAAAATCGAGAGAGAGAGAGAGAGAGAAACAGACGTTCGCCACAGGGTGCCAGAAAGTGGGCCATTAGCTGTACTAAACAATATGGTCTCACGCGATAAATGGTTTATAACAAGCAACAGTGCAAACAGAGTTCCCGGAGAAGTCTAACTAGTTCAATTCGATTTAGTAGATCGGGCAAAGCTAGCGCATCAAAATGGGGTGGATTTAACTGTGGTAAATCAAGCCACAAGACAATGACGGCAATTAAAAGCATCCAAAAGTAATGTAGAGAAGGAAAAGAATGGCCATATGTAGTAAATAGAAGCAAGAAATAAGTAAAAGCTTGCAAAGGGCGCTGTTATCGTTGATAGTGGATCTAACTATTGAGACCCTTGTTCAGGACGGGGAAACACATCAACACGACCCAGCTGAACCGTAGGATCTCTTATGTTCTTTTTACACCTCATCGATTGACCACCTCGAAGGGGCGTACCGGTACACAAAATGCGCGTACCAGCCGACTGATAGGCAGGTGAAACATACGACTTATAGAGTGTTGCCTGTTCAAGTCAGACAAGCACTACAGTGCGGCATCATTTTCATCAACAGTAGTACATCACTCATATGAAATAATGGGTCACTACCGTACAAACACAATAACCTATGAAAGGAAAAATATTAAGAGAGAGAAGGGAGGCCGGCGTAAAACATTCAGGGTCAAAGCCACTACACCTTGTCAACAACATACCGGCACAGACAGCTAGCTATCGTGCAAAGATAAGGCGGCAACTGTGAGACAGCTCCTTTGCGGCTTTCACTACCACGTGTCATAATCAACCATCAGTTCGTAGATGAGCCAGCGCCAAGCACCCTTTAAATAGGCAGTTCGAGTAGGAGACGACAGCAGATACGTAACGGATGCCGACTGCGAGCCATGTTCTGGAATGTCTCAAGATAAGCAAAAGGCAAGTCACGAATAACGAGGAGTAACATGAGTAACCATTGAAAATGAATGATGTATTTAGTGCCCAAGTCGTCAATACCTGAAAGAATACGTTAACAGAGTGTTAATCCACGTCGGAAGTTGCAAATAAGATCGGTACAGCGAAGAGTATGAATACCATCCAGTGACTCACTTTGACTTTCTCAGCTCATCCAGAAGAGCAGCATTGTGTTCTTCAATCTTACGAAGAGTGACGGAGTGCTTCTCGCTTTCCGCCAAAAAAAGTTTGTGGTACTTAGCATGAAGCTTCTTGAGACTAGAATTCATCCAATCAACCGTAGACTTGGGACTGGTTAGCTCTTTTGGTTGATTACTGGTACTAAGTTTTGATTCAATAGTCTGTAACTTAGTGGAAGTAGCGTGCAACTGCATAGATAGTCGAGTCAAATCCAAAAACAAACTTCAGCTTCCTTTGCACGAATTTTTTCTTGAAGAATTTGATTCTCCTTGGCCTTTTTTGAGAGCTTGCACTCCAGTGATTTTAACTCAGACTCCCACTGGTTCTTCTTACTCTCAATCAACTTGTCAATTTCAATCAGAAGGTCCTTCAATTCGCCTTCGAACTGAGGGAGATGAGGGAGAAGAAAGGTGAAATTTTTCAGACTGAAAACGCATTCAGTTAAGCAGAACAAACTTACCTCATTTCGGGGTATTCGATAGATGAGGCCAGCAAACGAAGTTTAATGTATAGTAGAGTCAATTCAGACGCTCCAAAATATGGTCATTTACAGGAACATCTTTGTACTTGCGCATAGTTCAACAGCACACAATAGAGAATTAATCAGGAAAAATACATCAAGGTGACAGCGCTAATGAGCAGTGATCCAGGCGAGAGGTTGAGAGATTAAATGAGCTGAAAGGCAGAAGGAGAACACATCTTCGAACTTAAATAACAAAACAAGCAGGTTTGACAAATCGGAAACCCGGAAGCGAAGATAGATTAAGCAGATAAGAATGGGTCAGGACAGGTCAACAAGTCAGCCAGTGAATGAAGTGTCCGGGAGAAAGCAGGAATTGCGCGGAAAATCTATTATTTTAGCGAATAATCGACTATTAACGAGTATCGCAGTGATTTCGAATGTTCTGGAATGTTCCAAGTTCTGCATGTGACTACCAACCACCTGACATATCGGCCAAATCTATGGGGAACCACTAATCTTTGTAGTTGACCTTCCAATTCCAGAAGTCGGTCAGTAAGAGACCTATAAATACAGCCAACGTCCGCGGCAGTTGTACAGTGTTTTGTTGACGGTAGTCAACACGTTATTTTATCAAGGTTATTGGTATCCTGCTTTTCCTTCGGTTGGGCTAGATGTTTTTTGGAGCAGTAAAGTGCCTATTTCGAAGTCGCATCTAGTGAGAAGGTTATAGGAGAATGAACAACAATGATCCAGGCATAGAAGTGCGGTGCATCCAGTTGTCGGAATAAGAACGGCCAGGAAATGAGGTTGAAAGCAAACAGAACACGAAGAAAGTGGAGTCAAGTAAAGTGTGTTATGCATTGTTATTCTGGTGATGCGGGTCGTGGCAACTGAACTCACCGCACTTCAATGCCTGGACCATAGGTGTTTAACTAAACTGTGTTAAACTAATCGGGACGAAATGAAAATTAACAGCTGAGTGTAATGAACAGAATGCAGGAAGGTCATTGACTGCGCCATGTTTGATAGTCTCCAACCAATGATGTGCACCATCACGAAGCACCACATTCACGAAGATGGCACGCCTGACCAAGTCTCTCAGACAATTGATTCATGCCTTTATGCCACGTCAACGAATGACCACCTAGTAGTTTCACCGGCCGGTGGCCGAGTGGTCTGCACGTTTGGTTTGCAACCATAGGGTCACCGGTTCGAATCCGCGTAGGGGTGGGCGTCCTCGCGGTATACTCAGCCCGCGCGCGACTGGTGGTTGTCGCGCGGCAGCGAAGCGCCGTTACGGCGTACAGATGACACATTATTATTACTTTATTAGTAGTTTCACCCAACTTGGTGCAGCGACGGCGTATAATGCACTCTGAGGGAGCCAATCGACGAGTATACGGAGAGCATAACTTAGCCAACGTAACCTGGTGAGCGTTAGTAAACACTCGAGTGAGGCACCAGGATTCTTGTAGTTAGATTTAACAGAAATCAGGGCAGGGAAATGTTATTGAATTGTCACTTAACTAAAGCCATGAGAACTGTATACACTTTCTACAACGGCAGAAGGAAGGAACATGGGTTGTTCAGAAAGCAAGTTTGTTATTTTACAACAAAACCGTGCTTTGTGTAGGGACAACTAGTCCCTACAGCTTGAACACTGTGTCATGTGTTGCGAGAAACGTCCATCCAGTCACCAGTTCTATCCAAACTCACACGCCTCAGCCCTCCGGGGTCATGTATAACCAAAGGAGTGTTCAACTGTCACATATTTTGTATTCGTGTGCTTAACCCCGGTCGTCTGTTCGCTTTGCGCTAATAAACCCGGTGTAACGGCGTTCGTTTCTGTGATCATCATCATCATTCATCATTATATACATCAGCTAGAGGTGGGAAAAACACCTCCGCTATTGTGCCGCAATACATGAAGGAAATACATACATACATACGATACAATACACAAAGGAGAAGTAGATACAACAGTTGCATGCCAGCTGAGCTACCAGCAACGGATAGGCATCGTTCCGGTAAGCTTCCAGCTAGCTACTAGGCAAAAAGAAAAAAAATATTATGTTTTACCCTAGGAAATGAGATCGTAGATGGATGGGGAGGCTAAAAGGGATGGGGAGGGACAAAGAAACTCACAGCATGAACGCCACTGAGGTCGGCTCCTTGCCATGTCAGAAAGTGTATCCAGCCAAACGTGTTCACCGTCTTTTGGACCCAAACCAGGGAGCCGTGAAGCTCCAACCGAGGCTAGCTCCGAGGTGAGGGACTTCATTCCCCTGGACCAAGTCATCGCTTGGCCACCTCTCCTCTTCTTCCACCCACATCCCCGGTGAGCAAACAACGCACGTCGAGGGAGTCGGTGGGCTGGCATGCGTAACACGTGGCCGAGCCATCGGAGCCTGGTGCGGGAAATAACGGTGCTGAGCGGTTCAGATCCTTTTCCTGGGCCGTAAACAATGCGTCGAACACGCTCGTTACTCACGCGGTGTTCCCACCATATGTGAGCCAAACTGCGAAGGCACCGATGGTCGAACGTAACTAGCCTCTTCATGTCCGCCGATCTTATGGGCCAGGTTTCGCAACCGTACAGTAAGGTCGAACGTACCGCTGCATTGTACACTCTAACCTTCAGGGCGAGAGTGATGTCGCGCCGCCGCCAAAGGTGGCGAAGGTTAGCAAAAGCACTTCGAGCTTTCGCTATACGGTTCGTGATCTCGTCTTCGATCCCAAGGGCGCTGATACAACTTCCCAGGTAATTGAATTTCTGAACGACTTCTAGCTGATCCCTACCAAGGGTCAGCGCAGGAGGCGATCCCTGCCAATCTTGGAGGAGCGCTTTGCACTTCGATGGTGCAAAGCAAAGCCCGAAGCGGCTGACAGCGAGTGCTAATCTGTCTAGCGCGGCTTGGCCCGTCTGGGAGCTGTCACAGATGAGGGCAATGTCGTCAGCATACTCCAAGTCAAGAAGTCGTTCTCCTGGGAGTAGCTCCACACCTTCCAAGTCATGTCCTGTAAATGCAAACTTCATGACTTCGTCAATAGCGAAGTTGAAGAGGAAAGGTGACAGCGGACATCCTTGTCTCACACCGCTGGAGATATTAAAGGGTGGCGACAGCTTGCCGTAAGCCCTCACTCTGCCCGTGCTACGCGCATATAATGCTTGGATAATATTTACATATTTCTCGGGCACACCTTTCCTGAGTAAACATTTCCAAAGGGCACATCGACCAACCGAATCGAAGGCACCTTTGATGTCGAGGAACACGACTACGGTGGGCCGCCAATATGTGTGGCGGTGCTCCAACAACTGACGCAAAGTGAAGATGTGGTCAATGCAGCCACGACCACGACGAAACCCGGCTTGCTCTTCACGAATCTGGCCTTCACGAGCGCCAGTCAGTCTGTGAAGAATTATGGAGGCGAGTAATTTGGAGGCGATGGAGATCAGACTGATTCCTCTATGGTTGCCGCGTTCCGAGCGCGAGCCGCCTTTGAAGATGGGAACAATAACGGAGCGGCTCCAGTCGGTTGGGACAGTCTCCTGCCCCCACAGTTTCACTAGTAATTCATGCAAAGCATCAACAAGAGCAGGGCCTCCGAATTTGAAGAGGGCTGGAGGAAGATCATCTGGTCCCGCGGCTTTGTTCAACTTCAACAGTCGGATCTCACGTTCGACTTCTGAGCGAGAGGGTGGATCCAAAGAGACAGCCCACGGAGCAGGGCGATCAGTGACCGGCGAACCGGACAATTCTAGCAGATTAAATTGCTTTTCAAAATGCTCAGCCCAACGCTCCAAACGTTTTGACAAATTGTGGATAGGCTGTCCACTCTCATCACAAATTGTTTCACTAACACCAGGTCTCCTGCTGCCCGTTTCCCGTATCAGACAGAATAACTTACGATGGTTGCCAAGGGCAGCGGTCACTTCCATCTCTGACGCACGATGAGACCACCAAGATTCGCGGTCTCTCTTCAGGCTGGCACGGAGTTTTGCCCGGAGCTCTTTGCGAGTTTCATTGTGTTCGCTTCCAGCCGGGATATGCCGGCGAGCGTCGATAAGTTCCAGAGACCGAGAAGAGACCCAATGTCCATGTGGGCTTTCAGACATACCACATGAGGATTTGCCTGCTGCTAGTAAGGTCTGGCGAACATGTGACCAGCGACCATCAATTGTCTCCAGTGAGCGAGTACTCAACTCGCATGTCAGCGTACTTTGATACGCATTCAGAACAGCTGGCTTTGTCAGTTGGCTGGTGTCAATGCGCTCACAGCGTCGTCGTGGGCGTCCTCCAAAGCGCATCCGCATGTCAGCACATACAAGTGCATGATCAGTGTCCACACATGTGCTCCAAATCGAGCAACAATTCTGGATGCAGCCTCTCCAGCGGTAACTAATAGCAATGTGATCGATCTGCGTCCAAGGCTGGTGGGCGCCAAGTCACCCTCCGGCGGGTGCTGTGTCGGAAATTAGTGCTCGCAAGAAATAAACGGGCATCTTCACACAAATGAAGTAACCGCTCACCGTTATCATTACGGGAGCCTACACCGTGCTGACCGCCCAGATGCATTTCATCAGTGGACAACTTTCCAACTTGTGCGTTTATATCCCCCGCCAGAACAACAGTGTCCGTGCTTCTTCTGTGGCGAAGGAGCTGAGTCAGTTGGCGGTAGAAGTCGTTCTTTACCGAATCATCGCTACAGTTTGTGGGCGTGTAGGCAGCGATGATGAATAGACATCTATTAGTCCCGCGCGACTTCGAAGCTTTAAACGAGCCAGCCAATCGGACCGCACACATCCGGCTACTGATTGGAATCCAATCAACCAGAGCAGCTTCAGCCCGGGGACTCAGAGCAATGCCAACACCAGCTTGGCCGGTGCTCGAAGCTGCATCGTCACTGGATAGGCGCAATGAGAAAATACTGTTTGCGTCACCTGAAGGGGATCTCAGAGTGAGCACAGAGCTCGAGTCTTGCAGGCGGGTCTCTGATAAGCAGCAGATATCGATCGAGAGGGTCTCCAATGTTCGGGCAAGTGCTGCCTGTTGACCGATCTGTAGTAGTGTGCGTACATTAAGGCATGCCAATCTGAAGGAAAATCGAGGGCTCCAAATGGAAGCCGATGAACTGGAATGGACCGCTTGGTTGGACATGGGCTTGTCGACAGGAGAGGAGTGACGCTTCGCGTTCACATGTGAGTTGAAACT